TAAATGAGGGCACTGTTTGAGACTAAAAAAGACCAGAAAAACCAATGATTATGGTCTGGAATAAAACAAAATAAAAGGCATTTTGAAGACAGCTAGGAAAACTGAATATGAACTAGCATCAGATCATCAAAAGAATTGCAATTAATTTTCTTTTAAATATTGTAACTACACAAACAGAGTTAGGTATGAGATTGTCTTTTTTAAACTGGGTATGGTGGTGCATGCCTGTAATCCCAGCACTTGGGAGGCTGAGACAGGAGGATCGCTTCGAGTTCGAGACCAGCCTGGGCTACATAGTGAGTTCCAGGTGAGTCTCAACTACAATGAGACCCTGTCTCAAAAAACCGAAAAAACAAACAAAAAAAAAAGATCGTCTCTTTTTTCCCCTTAAGAAATGCAAGCTGTCTAGTACTTTCAAATGAGACAGCACAAGTATCTAAAGATACATATAATAAGTATCTATTAGAAGAGGGAGAGGGAAGGGATAACAAGTGGGCAATTATGGCAAAATGTTAAATGGAAATCAATTTAGGCAGAAAAATGTGTGTATCCAATACAATGCTCTTTCATATTCTCTATATAATTGAACTTTTCTGTAAAAAAAAGTTGAGAGGAAAGAGAATAAAGCAAAATACTATAAACTAACAGTTCTCAAAGAATAGTCCCCTATATGCCCATGAAACTCTTTCAGGGTGTCTATAAGTCAAAAGCATTTTCCTAAATGTCACTGGAAGGACTGACTGACTGACTGTGCTTATTCAGACTCGGGCATCTGGCAGACATTTTCTTGAAAGGAATAACATAAGACTACAGTTTAAAGTATTTGGTGCCCAAGAGAAAACCTGAATGTTCCAGCACAAGGTAAAATTTTGGAGAACAAGTATCTACGCCAGTCAAAGTGACTGCTTCCCCAGTACTTAAAACAAAACTTTGCAGATGATTCTAGCAATGCTATTAATGTGAATTTTTGATACTGTATAATAAAATGTGTTACCATTTGAAAAGATTCGCATAACTCAAGGAAATCAATATTTTCCAAATGACCAACATATATATATATATATATGATACAAACCAGCAAAGACCCATTCACAGGTTTTAACAGCATGAAAGGCTCATTAATGTGGTTGTAGATTTCAAGTTGCAATTAATCTTTTTTTTGGAACCAGGGATAGAACTAGGGTCCTTGAGCTTGCAAGGCAGGCAGTGGAACCACTGAGCTAAATCTCTGGCCTAGATTCAAGTAATCTTGAAGAAACTCCCACTTGTTGAGTTTTGCCAAACATCAAAGAATTTCCAGAGCCACAAGACAAGGCTATCTAAAATACAGTTGTTAGGTTGGATTTCTTCTTTCTTTTTCATTTGAACCAATACAGCAAATAAGACATATTGGATGTAGAGGGCCAGGATTTAGCTCAATGGTTCTGCCGTCTGCCTTGCAAGCACAAGGTCACGAGTTCAATCCCCAGTACCAAAAAAGACATACTCAATGTAGAAAAGACATTTGAATGTAGAAAAGGATATGGAAATATTGCTGCTTTTTAAGTCAGCCCTTAAAGAAATATGCAAAAATAAAGGTACAAGAATGCTACATTTTCTGGCCAGGGATATGGCTCAGCAGCACAGCGTCTATCTGGCAAAGGTGATGTACTGAGTTCAAAAACCAAAACAAACAAACAAAAAAAGAATGCTATATTTTCTAATTTTTGGTTTGAAAACAATTATCCCCAAAATTTATATAAATATGGAATGGGCTTATTATTCTAAATAAATTATAAACAGATTTGCTCTGAAAAGGCCCCCAATGGACTTTTAATTAGGTAAAAGAAGGCCAAACTAGGTGTAATGGTGCATACCTATAAATCCCAACATTAGCGAGGCTGAGAAAGGAGGATCACTATAGTTCAAGGCCAGCCAGAGCTACAGAGCAAGAATCTTATCTCAAAAGACCAACGCCCCACCACCAAAAACAAAACAAGACAAAACAAAACAAAACAAACCCATAAAAATTAGACACTCATATTCAAGTTGTCTAAAAGCAATTCAACCTACAAGAACAAAAGGTATTGACAACTTTATTTTTGGTACCGAGGATCGAACTCAGGTCATTGGGCTTGCAAGGCAGGCAGTAGCACCAATGAGCTAAATCCCTGGCTTTTTTTTGAGACAGTCTCACTTTGTAGTGCAGGTTTCCCTGAACTCACTACAAAGCCCACACTGGCCTTGAATTTGCAGTGATCCTCCTGCCTCCCAAATGCTGGGAATTACAGGGGTGTGCCACCATACCTGGTTGGTTACTGACAATTTTTAACTCCAACTTTCAACAACAAAATCATTTAGTAAGCTTTTTTTGTTTTTTGGTTTTTTTTTTTGAGACAGGGTCTCACTACGTAGTTGAGAGTGACCTAGAACTTATTACTAGTCCAGGCTAGTCTCACCTAGAACTCATTACTAGTCCAGGCTAGTCTCCAGGCTAGTCTCGAACTCACAATGATCCTCCTGCCTCAGCCTCTAGTGCTGGGATGATAGGTGTGCACCACCACACTCGGCTAGTAAACTTTTTAAGTAAAGATATTTAGTTGTTTCAAAAAAAGGTGAAGTAGGAGACCAGCCTAGGCTACATGGTGAGTTCCAGGTCAGTCTCAACTACATAGTGAGACCCCATCTGGAAAAAAAAACAAAAACAAAAACTGAAGTAGGGCCGGGATTTAGCTCAGTGGTTCCACCACCTGCCTTGTAAACTCAAGGACCTGAGTTCAATCCCCCATACCAAAAAAAAAGTGAAGTCAAGCGATACCTATACTGGACCATAAAGAAATGACTTACATAATGCATAAAAACGAACCTGTACCCTAACATTATACCATACATGAAAATTAGTTCAAAATACACTAAAAATTTAAATGTAAAACCATAAACCATAAAACTTTTAGACAAAAAGAAAAAAAGCTACATGACAATGAAATGGATAATGATTTCTTGGGTCTGACACCAAAAGCACAGGCAACAAAAGAACAAACTGGACTTCATCAAAAAACTTTTTTTAATTTACATTAAAAAAATCGAGAAAGTGAAGCAACACCTACAAAAATAGGAGAAAATATTTGCAAAGAAACTCCTACAACTCAACAACAAAAACAACCCAATTCAAAATTAGGCAAAGGACCTAAATTGACAGTTCCCAAAAGACAAATGCAACAGAGGTGTGGTCCCACACGCCCAGAATCCCAGCATTTGGGAGGCTGAGGTCGGAGGACTGCCATGAGTTCAAAACCAGCCTGAAGTATACATAGTAAGACCCTGCCTCAAAAAGGTCACATGTACAGTTTCATTTTGTTTTTTGTGGTACCAGGGATGGAACTCAGGACCTTGCGCTTGCGAGGCAAGTGGCGGCACCGCTGAACTAAATCCCCAGCCCTTGTCTCAAAAAGAAAAAAATAAACCAAAAACCACACACACACACACACACACACACACACCACATGAAAATATGTCCAACATCTGTAGTCATTAGGAAAATGAGTAGCAACCATAGTGAGACACTATTTCACACTCATGAAGGTAGCTATTTTTAACTAATAAGTGCAGACAGATACGGAGAAATTGGACACATGAGCACACACACCATTTCTGGTGGAAATGTGAAGTGGTAGAGCCACTGTGCAAATCATTCTACTTCCAGGTACATATAAAGATAGACAGAATGGTGTGAAAACATCAGGGATTCAGTAGGAACTGCACCTAGAATTAGTTGAACTCTTTTTCTGGGCTAGCAATGTGTGGTATAATGCTGTCTTGTGAGGCTGGGTAGCAGCAGGAAACCAGAGCTCCCAGCCAGCCATGTGACCACTGGGTAAACAGCCAATACTGCATAGGAGCCTTGCAGCTGGGTTCGATGTTCAGTAGGCTTAGGATATTAAGTGCATATTCAATTTAACTATACTTTCACCTTACAATGGGTTTATCAGGATGTAACTCCTTTGTTGAGCATCTGTAACTGGATAGCAACTTTCATAGAAGTGTTATTCACAACAATAGGTGAAAACAAAGTGCTCAACAACAAAAAAAAATAGATCAACATAATGTAGGAAGCATGTGTGTGTACCAGTGTGTGAGAGAGACACACACAAAGAATGAAATTGTTATGGCTTGTGTCTACATGTCCCTCAAATGTGGACATAGGCGGGTTTTTCAGAGGTGGCTGCATTAGAGCATGTGATGCTAGGATTCAATTCCTGGCAAAATGCTAGGATCAAGAGTGCTAGGATTAAGGGTGTGAGAGCTACTCGCCCTAGCCTGGAAACGAAGATAAAAAGCTGTGGTCCCTGATGCTCTAATACCTCTGCCCACCAGGAATTGTTTCTCCTCTGGGATGACTCTCTGCCACACCACCCTGTCTTGGAGCCAGCTGATTATGGACTGAAACCACTACAAACTGTGAGCTAAATAAACCTTTCCTCCTTTAACTTTGGGAGTCAGGAATTTTGCCTCAGTAATGAAAAAAATGACTAAGACAGGAACATTATTCACTCATAAAAAGAAATGAAATTTTGAAATATGCTGTAACATGCATGGACTTTAGAAACATGCTTCACAAAATAAGCCAGATCCAGAAGAACAAATGTGACTCCATTTACATGAGTTATTTAGGAAGCAAAACGCTGTTAACTACGAGTGGGGGGAGGTGCAAACCCCTTTTTGCTTAATGGGTATAGAATTTTTGCTGGGAAAAATGAGAAAGTTTTAGGTATTGATAACAGTTGTGATCACATAACACTGAGAGTATTTAATACCACTGAATTGTACATTTGAGAATGGGTAAGTAATAAGTATTATTATGTGTATCTTTTACATCCCAATTTAAAGACTGGTTAAAAGGCATTTGAAAAATGGCTTATGTTCTCTGAAAGACATTTGTTATGATGGCTGACACTCTCAGAAAGTAAGAGTTGGCTTCTCAATTATGAGAGAATAAAAATCACAGATAGTGTTTTACTTACCCGTTTAGGGCCACTAAAAATCTTTCTGGTATTTTCCCTTGATTTATCTCCTTGTTTACTTATGGGCTTCTTCACATTTTCAGGCACACCAGGCAAGTCCTCTGCAAAATCCAAGTTTTCTGAAACGGTAATCAAAACTAGCTAGCTTTCCAGTATTTCAAATCATTTACCAGACAACCTATGAAGATTCCCCGCCCTGGCTTATACAGGATGGAAGGAAGAAAGGAATAAAACACCACTACCACTCTTTTCACTCTCTGCTTCACAAACCTAGCTATGCGTGTGCTTCAGCCCTACTTTATGTTAATGGCAAAATCAAGTATCTTCCTAAATAAATAAACTGTGACCTTCATAAGTGATGTAACTGTAGACACCTATGGATACTAATACAGGTATGATACAGTGTACACAGAACATATCAGGTGGTGTCTGCCTTTAACATTTTTATACAATTTAAGCCCATTAAATCTTGTTAGCTTTCAAAGAATGCCTGCTTACATATACAAAGGCTACCCCTAAAAACCCAAACCATAGTTGGCTAAAAATATAAAGAAATCTAGTACAACATAGTTCAATGATTTGTAGGTCTCCACACAAAACTACTAAATGATTAGAGTACTTCCCAAATGGTTATTTCTTTCTAAACTAAACAAAAACAGACTTTTCTCTATTCAACTCTTTAAAATGTTTACTGTTTTACATATTATAAGGACTCAAATTTCCAATTGCGATATTGTACCCAAAATGATCTCAAATGTTCACGTTACTTGGTGTCAATGTCAAATTTCTGTAGGTCTAATTTTATTTTTTCCACAGTGCTAGGAGTCCAACCCTGGAACTCCCAATGATCTTCACCCTCAGCCCTAATTTCACATTTTATTGTTTTGGAGTACCAGGGATTGAACTCTGGTCCTTGTGCTTGTGAGGACGCCAGCGAAACCACTGAGCTAAATCCCTGGCCCTAATTTCACATTTTAAAGTGTAAAACATTCTACTACCCCACGGTGTAAATCTCAGTGACAGATTTTAACTGCAGATGAGGCTAACCTGTGAGTGATTCAGGCTAGTGCTAAATTAGAGCAAACTAACTGCAACTGCGGCAGGTCAGGAGCTCAGGCACTGTACAGATTATACAACAGAGCATAAGCATATGTCCAGAAAGGCCGCTGCAAGCTAAAGTTCTGCACAGGTATCCAAGACAACAGGGTAAATTCTGCCAACACTCCCTATTGGCTTTGTTTGGGCATTCGTTTATTAAAATTTTCAGCAAGAAGTGGGCCTATAGGGGCTGCTCCTCAGTAATCCCATCTTTAGAGTAAGAATGAATCCTATCTAGGGCTGGGAGTATAGCTCAGTTTGGCACAGCATGTGCTACACATGCACAAGGCCCTGAGGTCAATCCCCAAAACCAACTAAAAAAAAAAAAGAAAAAACAGCTAATCTAGCTAGCACAACTATTGTCAGGCCAAAATACAACAGTAGATAGTGTCAAGTACAACAGACTCCAGGAGAGAATATACATTCAGGAATACTAAAACTCTTAATTCACCATGACAACACCTTTCCTACAACCACAACAAGACAAAATATTTAACAATTAAACCAATTTAGAAAAACCATTTTTAGCTAAGAGCCCCTGAATCCCAATGTTTACTCCTTTTTCACCCAACTGTCAACCCACTACACAAAGCCCTTGTCAGTGAATGACTTAATTACAGCAAAGCTAACCTATTTCTTTTGTCTCTCACAGTAGAGACTGAACTAAAGGCCTCATCACAACCTGTGACCTTTGGAGACAAATTAAATCTTCACTGTTGAGAAAGAATGCTTACCTACATTTTTCAATTTTATTAAACCAGCTTAAGAAAGTCTGAGGATGTTTTAAATGTTCATTAGTTTTGAGCCAACTACAAAAGTTTTTAATTAATTTTACTCTCATTAGAACCATCTGTTATCAGTACAGTTGAAAATGTCCAAAACTTACCCTTATGCCTCCACTACATATGGTTTTTCAAAGCTGAAACACTAAGATGTTTGGTACTGTCACCCAGTACACACAGGTTCCTCACAACTCAAGACCTGATCATTAATATTTTAAATGCTGTGCTTTTGGGTAAGGTAATTTATAGTTCTAAACACATATTTCTACTGAAAATAAATATAAAAAGTAAAATTGAGATATCTATTAAGTAGATGCTGATTTAGGCCAGAAAACCATATTTTCTTATTATGTATACACATCTGAAAATCTTACCTGCATTACTAGCACTAGACTGACTGTCCTGGGAATTATCATTGCTTTCTGGAGGAGGCTGCAAGGAGGGTGATGGAGCTGTTTTAGTTCTTTTTTTGTTGGCCTTTCTTTCTACTTGACAGTCATCATCATCATCATCTTCACTTTCACTGAGATCATCAAAACCAAAATACTTAATTTTGTAATTAGAACTTCCAGAGCCTCCTTCATCGCCTCCTGCCTCATCATGATCTTCAAAACCAAAAAATTCAAGTTTAACATCCTTTTTGGATTTAACATTACTAGGCCGGAATCTAGTAGTGGTCTTAGAAGTTGCGATATCGGCCTTTTTTCTGAGGCGGCCAGCTTCTCCCAGGTCTGCAGGAGTGGATGCAGTGAACTCGTCCATGCTTCGCTCCATGGTGTCCTGGATAGTGACATTACAGACCGACAAGCAAGATGGATGTAACACAGTATAATCTCTAGTCCGGCCAACCGTCCCTCTAAGACTGGTCCCACAGCCGACACTGCCCTTCTTTGCCTGATTCAAGCCATCTTTACTCGACTCATTGTTTGCTTTGGCTAAGGCCTGATTGGTGCCGTCCATTAGCTTATCAAAACTGGATGCTCCTTGGGAGGCTTTTGCCTTGTTGGCCCTACAATACGTCCTACAGTTGCTTGGCCTAAGAACACTTTGAACCATGTCTTCCTCAATTGCTTCATCTAGATTTTCCAAACGAGTTTTTAAATCCTCATCCTTCATCTCCAAAAGAGGATCATTATCCAAACCTAAAATATCTTCCGACCTGATATCTTCAAAATCATTATCCCATTCATACAAACCAGTTCTCACAGATCCCTTGACTGGAGATATTTCAGATGGGGACTCTGACTGTTTCCCAAACTGTGAGTTCCAAGTATCATTTGTTTCCTTGATTTCATCGGCTTTGTATCCAGAAGCCACTGTGGTTTCTGCACTGGGTTTCTTAGTACTGTCGTCAGCATTTTTGTGAAAATGATGACTATTTTTCTCATGTTCTTCACTAAAATTCTCCACTTTATCTATAAAAATAAGTCAAATGATAAAGACATGAGTGGCATCAACGTACAAGTCAACAAGTAAAGATACATGGCAGATAATGCATAATCAGTTAATCTTGAAATAAATGCAATGATTTTAAATTGTGGAGAAATTAATATTTATATACCAAACATCTCCCTTCCCACCTCTTCGGCATACACAGCTTTGATGTCAAGGCATCAAAACTTCTTACAATTGTTACCCTAAACTCCTCACAGAGTTTTCAGAATTGCTAAGCAACTCAATCAATCCAGAAGGACATGTACATGACTCAGCCAAACCTCCTTACGGGCATTATGGACATTTCAAACAAAGATGCTTAAATAAAAAATAATTTAACAGAACTTAAAAGCCAGATGAACACAAGCAATGGAAATCTTTCAGCAGTATCTATATGTATGTAGGGTAGAAGTTCCCATAGGTTTGCAAGCTGGGTTTCTTGTAACTATTTCCATTCTTTCTTCTAATCCTAAAAGCCCCATAACCTCAAGGAACTTACAGTGGCTATCTACCCACATCAGCCAGTGTAAATCTTAAACTTGAGAAATTCATTTTTGTTGCCTTATATTATTTTCAGAAACTTTTTTACCTTTCCAAATATGATGGAAATACAATTCAAAATGGAATTAGGATTAATTCCTCAGCATTAGAAAAACAGTGGCCAAAAAAAAAAAAAAAAAAAAA